TGAGGTGCCTTAAGGGTACCTGGCGTACCTCCGTAAATAGATTCACCGCTACCTGAGGGCCTCCTGCCAAGAAAGAGTTATCATGAGGTGATGTTTAAGACAGAGCAGCTGAAATACAGCCAAGTAACAGCTTAGGTATTTGACAACAAAATGGGGAAGAGCTACAAAAAAGGAAAACAAGCAAAAGTTATAATGGAGATCAACCTGAAACTCGGATGTGATGCGGTGGCTGCGCAGATCTCTTTCTCAGGGCTTGTGTCTCTAAGGAACTAATCTCAGCACATACTCCATCTTTCCGAATGTAAACTTGGAAAGCCGACCCCTTCCCCCCTTCCTCTTACATCCTACTTTTTGGAGTGCTCAGTCTGGGGAACCTTCCAAGCATACCTGGGTCTCTGACTTTTCTCTTGCTCCTCTTTAACTCATCAATATGAGTGTACACTATCATCCTCTGTCAGACAAAATGCCAGGGAAACATTGTCTGACTTGACCCAAACAAAACCACTTGGAAACTCTCTTGGATGCAAATGAATCCTTTTCAGCTTGCTTTCCTGCCTATGAGCCTTGGTTTCACCCAACATCTGTCTTTCCCACGCAATGTAAATACATCACTCGAGGCTCATCTGGAAGCTGTAACCACCACCACTCAAAGCCATTCTTGCACAAGTGTGTTATAGTTAATCCCATCACTACTCCTTACAAAATGTATGCCGTAGGAACCACTTATGCATACCTCATATTCGTACACACTTCTTATTGAGTGTACTGATTTCAGTTTGTTCCTAGCATTGCAGAAATTCAAAATGTGACACAAACATGGATCTGAGACTGGAGGTACAGAGATTGAGCAAATCCCTCCCTCCCTCCATGCACAGACAGGGTTAAGGGAGTCGGCACAAATTTAAATGCTTCTCCCAAAACAATAAAAAGAGAAATATTCCAAGACACTTTTCTTCTTGTTTCTCTCTAAAGGTCCCTTTCTTATGTCTTTTCATAAAAGCAAAGGAAATCCTGATGCAATGCTAGAGCACTTGCTAGGCACCAAACACGACCTATGATCCTGAGGAATTTTCTCCGAAATTTTCCTTTTTTTTGCAATAATATCTTTGGGGGATTTTATTTGTGCGTGTCTTCATACTGAAGTCTTTTTGCTGTAGAGATATTCCTGTTCACTCTTTGGGTATTTTTTTTAAATCTCAAGTTAATTGACTGCCAATTAACTGAAGTTATTTAGCGTCTTTGAAAAAGCAAGTCAGAACTCTCCCCAAACGTTTGTAATGGGCTACAAATATTTGTAGCCTGGCTTACTCTGATCCCTAAGGTAAACTAGAAATGTTTGTAGCATACATTTTAAGATTGCATTAATTCATGGTTGACAGAGGGGTTTTCACTTTCTGGGGAAGCTCAGCATTGAGTTGGGTTGCCCTTTGGCTTTTTACACTAGGTTCTTTTGTAAAAAAAAAAAAAACAAGTAACAACTTCTAAAGTTCCAGCTCTTGGGACTACACCTAAACAGCTTCCTCTAAATAACTTCTTCATTTAAAGAGTGCTGGAAGTTAACTATAATAGATCCCACATGTACCCAAAGATAATTTTGAGGATCATAGATACTACAACAAAAAAAAAATATTATTGGGCACCTGACTAGTGCAAGATAGAGGGAGTATTTTTAGGAGTACTAATAAAACAGAATACATCATGTATATAAACAAGCACAGAAATATTTTGTAATTTGTATTCTTTGATTATATGCAACTTGTAGTAACTGATTATGAACCTCCATGCCAATAGCCTCTACAATTTAATAATGTCAAAGCAGGAACACAGGCAATCTCCTCTTTCACTAGAATTTCGTTAGCATTTATACTCATTCAGTCTACACGTAAGTTTATTTACTTGATTGGAGAGAAGCATCATGTACATTACAGCAATTAACTCATGTTACAGACTCGAATTGTAAGAAACTCTTTTTCTATCCTGACATGAACAGACACTATTTTGTCAAGAAAGTAATCTAAAAGAGTTCATACTGATTTTTTGTTTTCTTTTTTAATCAATCAAAAGTCTACCTCTTCAACTATAGCTAATGTATAAAGTAACTTTTTCAAGTTGAGAAGCGTAACTAAACTTCTTCAACGCAGTAACTGGACAGAAGAATGGCCAGTTAAAGTTAACTCTTGATTTCTTTAAGTGGGTGGGATCCATCTTATCCTTATATCATCTAAATGTAGTAATTTAAAAGTTCAGTAGCTAGTTTAAGATTGCTGTTGAAGTGCTTTCTCTCTCTATAAAAACACATGTATATCCCTATCCACAGAAAGTAGTTGATGAGATGTATCACAAACCAAGCAGAAAAGGATTTTCAGAGAGAAGGTATTTACTCAGTTTTGCATATAATGGTTTCCCTAAATCTCAAGACTCTGATGTGCAATTTGATTAAATGAGGATTACTTGCAGTGACTGGCAAAGAAGAAATAAACAAGTCTCTAGCTTTACACTAAAGCTCACCAAAATGTAGCTATATTTAATTCAGTGTTTGGGTTGACCTACTCTTGCTTTGAGCTGGTGGAGTGACAGAAAAAGAGAATACTTGAAATTATTAGACCAACCTGCTTAATGGGTATAATCTAAGCATCTACACTCCCAGATGTCTGGGGGTTTTTTAAGTTTTCTATGAATTCTAGTCTTATGCTATTACTGATATGCTTTTATCTGGAATGATCAGAAGATAGGTTTGAAACATACAGACTATTGGTAGAACATCCATTTCTAGCCCAATTACTCTTCCCAAGAAGAGACTGTACATTTCCCACCATATTTCATTTACTGTAGTCATCTGACAATCAAATCATGCAGCTCTTCAGGGCTGTTCAAGATTTACATTTGTCTGTAGCTTATAAATGTGTTGCCCATTTTAGCCAATAATGTCTTAGAGAAATAACTTTTCAGAGTCCAGAATATATTCTTGCTAGCCCATCTGACTGACATAACTCATACCCAAACTTCTCACTTTCTGACAATCCAGGCTTTCTTTAGATACAAATGTTAGCAAAACCTTGGAGTTCCATAAAAAAGAAGATACATGAAATTGTTTTATCATGTGGTCCTGCAAATCAGTTCTTCTGTCTAAAGCTTTCATTGCTCCAGACAGTAGCAAAGCCCTGTAAGTGAACTAGGTGTATCTCAGCATATAAAGTGACAGCAGTGTCTGCAATCATCTCACTAATTGCTTATAAAAACCTTGATATCACAATTCTGCCATAATATGGGTCCATAAGAAGTGCAAAGGTAAAGCTGTTTCCAACTGCAGGGAAAACATCTCTAGTAGCTTCTGCTACAGCCCACAGAAGCTGCTGTTGTAACTAAACAACATTAACATCCCTTCCAAGGAACCTACTAACACCTCCTTAAACAAATGGTAAAATTCAGATGAAAAATTTTCTGGTCCTGGAGTTTTCTCATTGTTCACATTTAGCATAGCTTTGAAGAATTTGCCTTCCATAATTTATCATAAAGATTTTGTCAATATTTGCAAATCTCCCACATTCAGATACGTTTGAATAACTTCTGGTGGCATATCTGAAATACACAGGTTTTCATCATGACCAGGAAAACCTAGTGAATGTGTCTCTCTGACAGACATACCTGCATTGATAAATACATACTATTACATTCAATTTAACAGAATCTCTGAATAAAACTGATGTATAGGTAAAAAAGGGGCATGCCTGTAACATGCTATTATTCTGCTAATTTCAGGAACTCAGATAAAAATTGTCCATTAATACAATAAACAACAAAGCCAAGCTTCCATTTGTAATGGTTAGTTTTCTAATAATTACAAGCAACTACCATGTGATTATTTTAAATTTCCTAAATAAATATTTTTGAAAAGATAATATAGGAACTCAAACAAGGAGGAGAATCCTATGGTCTACTTGCTTTTGTAAAAACCATCTGCTTGCAGACATTTATGATTATTGGTATAACTTTTTGTTACTATCAGGAATGACACAGTAGTTAAAAATTAATTCTTGACTTCATTTACTGAGACACTAAACAAATATAAGGAAACATGTACAGCTGAAACATGTTGCAGATCTGCTCCACAATAAGTGATTTACAGCAAAATCTGTGTGACCAATGCGCCAGCCCACCATCAGTTCTGGGATACTGCTCCTCTTGCCTTTCACCTATCCAACCCCACAGCATTGCAACCTTTGGAAATAAGAACTAAGCATCTGGTCAGACATCCTCTGGGGCAGTATTCGGCTGCCATGCTGTAGGGTTTTTGGTGCACAGACACGTGCATTGCTAACCCACAGTGCCTGTCCTTGTAGACCAGAAAGCGGGGGACACAGAGGGGGTTATTTATGGGGTTGCACAGGTAGACCCACATACCTACTCTTAGCTCCTCATCCACACGCACACATATCCTGGAGTTCAGCACAGAAAGGGTTATTTTGACAAACTGCAAGGCTCTGGTGATCAATGTGGAAAGTTCACTAATATTAGTATGGGATAGTCTGAAAACAACCATAAAGCCAAGCTTTTTAGATGTCTGGACTATTTTCTTCCATGGAAAAATTCCATGGTGGTATTGGCAGACGTGTTTTCTTGCCTCTGCTTTCTTCTCATTTCTTAGACAAGAAGATGGTGAGTTACAGCCCCAGCAGCTGAAGAACGCTGGTAGAATGTGCTTTTAACACACTGAAAGAGAGATGGAGAAATGGGATGCCAAGGCTGATGATAAATATCCACCTCTTATGACAAAATAACTGCTTGCTGTATTGTGTATGACCTTTATGAGACCCACGGAGAGTATCTCAGAGATGGATGGTAGGAAGAAACAGGCAGACTAAGGTGTTTAACACCTGCTGCACAGGGGTTTTTTTAATCCTACAATACACACCCGAAAATTTAGGCTACACGGCTGGGGGCCGTGGCTTTGATGAAGACTACACTGTGATAGTCTCCAGTGTTTTCAGGATAACACCCACACATTCTTTGACAGGTTGACAAGATCCAGGAATTCATAGTCAAGTTCTTCCCTGTTGGCACCATAGACGATAATGACAGCAGTGGCAGGACCTTCTGCCAACGGGCGGTCACACCTACCGTAGGAGCTGTGGAGCCTGAAAGCACGCATGGGGGTCCTGTGACTACTCCTTACACTGTTAATGCTAATGAAGCTTTTGGCTCTGCAGAAAGGAAAGTCGGCACAACGTACAACAGAGAAGCTTGCTTCAAGCTACTCCAGTACCTGGAAGGGCCACAGCAGTCTCAGTCACGACTTGTAAAGAAAATATAGATGTGTCATTTCTCTTAAGTGAGAACATCTGGAGATGTCCAACATAATTATCTTCTTCCTGGTGATGAAGCACAAGGTTAAGCAGCACAGCTTAACGGCTGATGTGAGCAAGTTGTGCAGCCCATAAGAACTGAGCATCCAAATGTAATAAACAATAGGATGGGGACGGGCTTCTTAAATGCCTCCGTGAAACAAGTAAGACATAAAAGGCACATTTAAGAAGCAATTCTTTCCCAAGTTACTTTCATTTACCAGGCCAAGTTAAGCAATGACAAGAATCAGGTTGAAGAAAAAATACAAGAAGTACTAATTTGTTTCTGATAACTGAAAAACATTAATTGCCTCTAATTGCTGTAGAAGTAAAACCCAAGGTTTTCCCTGAAGCAGAGGGAACCTCTGCAAGGCAGAAATTCACAAATCTCAAGTAGGTCCTAGCTGATCTCAGTGTAGACAGCCACCGCCACTCCCATAACCTGACCACAAGGGCAGCAGCGGGCATCCCAGCTGTGTTAAGGCTCACCAAATCCGGTGACCTATAGAGGGGAGGCTGCCAAAGGTCCGTCCCTCCACACCCAGGCAGGCACCAGGCTGAGCATGTATTCCCAATAAGGCATAGGTGCACATATTGATACACTACATTGACATGTACGTGTGCAGTCAAGCACATCAACTCAAATCAGGAATACAGTACTGACACAAAGACAAACAGCGTTTACAGCCTGGCCAGACACGATGCACTAACCAGCCACTTGTTTACACGTGACCAGCCCCTTTCATATCCTTTTCCTCTAGTTTTCCATGCTTGCTCCTCCCTGAGCCCCTCCCCTTCCCCACCCTTGCTACTCTCTCCAAACATCCCACAGTAAGTTTTGTAGAACCCCCAAGTGCTTTTCTCCCAGAACAAGCCCATACTCCCCAGCAGCGACCCCCAGCCCGTAGGTGATCTCAGGACAGGCTCTCCCACTGGCTCTAGGTGGTGGGTGTCACCGCAGCAGCCAGCACACAAGCAAGGAGGTGACATCCACCCAGAATAAGTCACCCAAGCAGAGGACAAACAGCGAGCGGGAAGGATGGATGAACCATGCAGCCGGGAAGGCATGGAGGAGCCAGCAGATGCACAACAGCTTTGTCAGGAATAGGATGCGTGAGAATTGGTGTGGATGACACACAGATGGTCCAGTTGACACACAGATGATGGAGCCTCCAGCCAGTCTGGAGCAGAGGTGGATTCCAGGCACCTACTTACTTGCCTTCCCCCATACAAGCTAGGCCAACTCCATACCAGTGGCAAAGAAATATAAATTCTGTGTGTTCTTTGAAGAGGCAAACATCCTTCACCAATGCTTGGCCAATGAAGCAATCAGAGATGTTTTAATAGCTGCTGGTTGACAGTTTACAAATTGATCGGGTAAGTAGATGAGAGAGCACTTATTTCTGATTTTGCAAGTATGAGGCAAGTTTATAGACTAGGCACACTGCATGTACAGACAATAAATTAACCTTTGAAAAAGCATTAATGATCTTAATGTTAAAAATATTTACCAAGAATCAACCAGCACTACTGAACATGCAGCGAAGAACTGCTCGCTTTAAATTTTTGATTCTGCTCCTTTGTGCGTCTGGAGAGTATTAGTTGAGGAAATTATTCCAGCATGTGCTTAAATCCCTCTGAAGTGAAAAGAATATAAGTGCAAGCTTAAAGTGAAGTGAATACTTAAGCAGCCTTCCTAGACAAGGGAGTGCAGTTGGGGCCATAATCTTTAACTGTATGATCCTATTTTCCTTCAGTGTTATGACATTTCTTACAGGCTGATAAGCATCTTTTTGTCACATGTAGTCTTTGGCTGGAGTCAAGCATAATTCATGAATTAACATCATCCCACAGTAAATTTCACTCCCAGGTCCTTCTACAAATTAATCAAAATTAAAGTATTACTGCAGGTTGGTGGCACACATACCCCACTTTGGCTTGCACCTCCTGAATTATTGCAGTTTTACAGACAGGACTCTAAGACCCATCTGTCAGCCCATCTGAACTAGGAACTTTTGCTGTCAAAAGACCTGCAGGTGCCCCCCTCCATACAGAAATGTCGACTGGATCCACACGCTGCAACAGCTTGCGCAGTACCAGCACTCCTTCCAGGGGATCATGAATGCCTGCAACCATTTTTCTGCAATCTTCCCTTTTTCGCACAAGTTTTCGATGACTGCTCTCTCACCAACAGCACGTATCACTTCTGGCCTCTATTTTAGAAAGCTGATTTCCATTCTTGTTCACCCCAACCCCTTAAGTTACATCTCAGAAACAATGATTTTTCTCAGCAGCACAGTATCCTGCAAGACCTGCATACATGTGTGTGTATATATATATATACACACACACACACCCCCACATATATATATAACCCAAGAGACAATCATACGAGAACCAAAAGATACCACTCAAATGGATCGATGCTATTCTTGTATCTGCCTTTTGCACAGAGAGCTGATTAATTTCTATTTGTGCAATCAAGGCAATTGGCTGCTTAGCACAGAAACTCAGTATACTAAGAAGCAAGGAAACAGCACAAGCAGTCCTTGAACCTGGCCTGTGGCTGCGGCCAGCTGAAAAAGATGGAGGGGTGTTTCTGGGTCCACCCAGTGACCACCAAGATACGTCCCACTGTTACGCAGATCGGAGGCAGCAGAAGCGACTCCAGAACTTCCAAGCGTTGTAGCACTCTCAGGCCAGTGGGAACGGGGATGCTTTCCCAGGCTGACATACTGACCACTGGTGGGTTCACAAGAACAAATAGTTTTCTTGAGAATCTGACCTAATCTTTGCTTCTCCGGCTGAACCTATACAAAAAGCAAACAAAGAAAACAAAGAAAGATAGAAATAGCATGTGCCCTGCCACCATTCATCTTACTCAGGGGCTACTATCAGGGTTAACTAATACGCATAATCAGCTCGAAACATTAACTTCCACATCTTTGGGCAAAAGCTTTCAACCGCTTGTAAAATGGGGGCAGACTACGGGTTACTGGTGAAGAATCCTTCCCCTGGGCATCCCCCTCTCACCTCCAGGCAGGTCTTGGACCAGTCCCAAGAGCAGGACTAGTGCAGACCTGCTCTTTTCTTATGTCGCAGTCATGCATGAATAGGGGCCAGATACAAAGGCGGCATTGTATCAGCTTTGTTGGGGAGGTTGTAGCCTCTCCTTCCTCCTCCAAGTCCTCCTCCCGACGCAGGCAGCTCACTGCAGCTGCACAGGAATGCTGCGTTACGGACAGAGTATTTTAAAAGTTCCAAAAATAATTCCTGTGAGGAGTGAGAAATTGTGTCTGAAACCCGACAGAGTAACAGGCAGGCTGAAGCTGGATGGAAGACAAGTAGATCAGAGACAGAGCAGTCACGACAATACTATGCTGTTGAAAATCAGAGGACCTAGACAAGGTAGAATATCTGCAGTCTGGGGGAAAATGAGGCATTTTTTTTTTCTCTCCCACACAGAGCTAAAAAAGAGAAGAAAAAAGCAAAGGAGTCTTGATAATCAGAGATCTCTAAGTTATATGTGCACCCAAAGCACACAAGACAAGTGCTAACTTTTTGATGAAGTCCTCAAAGCCTGCTGATAAACAGGCTCGAGGACGAAGAGTGCTGCTGTTAAATCAAAATGAAAGGCAATCAGCCCATCAGAGAGGCAACCCAAGGCATTTCATGTAAGCATCCCAAAAGGCATCTACTAAAAATTTAGAGATTACTTTTGAAAATTTTTGAAAAATATGCCTCGCACTTGAGCTGGTAATCGTAGAGCTGCAGACCACGCTGTAAAGAGCTGCTGGGCTTAGACCTCCATTGCTGTTTCAAAAGGTTGGTTGCAGATTCAGTAATGTTGACAGTGACTTTGGTTGAATCGCACGTTCTGGAGTTCAGCCTCCCATTATATTTTCATTGCAGTGAAATTAAATTAAAACTGATCAAATGATAGCTGAGGATCACAGTCTATTTTAAGAGGCTGTTCTTTCACTTTGAGCTAAAATGAAACATTGCCAAGGGCTGGCAGAAAAATGGTAAAGGGACATGATTAAAACGGAAAGCGTTATTACGAAGACAAATGGTATGTTTTGCATGTCGACTACTAAAGATCCTTACAGACCTTATAAAAATAATGCACCAAGCTACCGAAAAGGTGTTTTCGGCAGGTGTGTGGGATTACAAAAAGGCACTAGGGCTGTTAAAGGGAGAAAACCCTTCTCTAGGCAAGGGAAACTGGAGAAAGGCTTTGTACCATGCACTCCTGCCAGTCCATCAGGGCAGAGAAACAACCCCAAATGGCAGCTCTCACTGAGGTGTCAGGGGCAACATGCCTTCACGCTTCGCTCCCCCTCTTCATTCTCGCTGACGCGACCCCTGTTCTGCATCTCCCTCCGTGCTACACACACACCGTCCCCAGTTCTCCCATACCTGGTGGGAGATGAATAAAAGCCAGAACTGGTCCAGAGGGCTGGAAACCTCTCTCTCTCACGGCAAGAAGCAAGCAGCAGAAGCAGCTTGCTTTATTTCCCTGCTTTTTGAAGGCCTGCGAGAACTAAAAGTGGTGTTAAAAAGAATACGGGATTTTCCACTCATGCTTTAAGAAAGTTCATTAACACACTGAATGGCAGCTCTGATCCTGGTACTTTCTTTGGGTGACAAATCCCAACAGCGTTAAAGTATGGTTTGACCTTGTTTTTTTCTGGTTGCTCGTGCACTTAAACCTGAAAATCAGGGTGTCATTTAGGTCAGGTAATAGGCCTGGTTGAAAATCATAAAAATAGGCTTTCAGGAGGCAAATTCGCTGAGTGAGCCTGAA